TTCATACTGCATATTGATTTTAACTTTTTACACCCTAGAAGGTTTATTCATGCATCTTGCTATAGCTGGCAAGGAAATGCAATAAGTTCAAGTATTTTAACAGGCAGTCTGAAAGCCACCTTTGTCCATCCATACATCCATCCATTTTCTGCCACTTTGCAGGTTGCAGTGATAGCAATCTATCCCAAGAAGCCAAGCCCTCCATCTCCCTGCCCATCTCTTCCAGGGAACACTGAGGAGTTCTGCAGCCAGCCAAGAGCCATCCTAGTCTGATGCTCAATCCACCTTAACTGGCTCCTTTTGATGTGTAGGAGTAAGAGTCCCTCCTGAATGACCAAACTCCTCACCCTGTCGTTAAGTGAAAGCTCATTTACAGCACTTGTATCTGCAGTCTCACTCTGTCACTACCCAGAGCTCATGGTCATAGATCAGAGCATGAACACAGACTGACTGGTAAATCATCAGTTTTGCTTCCATGCTCAGCTCTCTTTTCACCACAACACACCGATACAGCGTCCGTATCACTGCAGATGCTGCCCCTCCCTGAGGTTGTTTCTGCTGAACATTTCTTCCAGTTAAAAGGGAGTTTTTCCTTGCCACTGTCGCCAAGTGTTTGCTAATAGTGGTCTGATTGTTGGGGTTTTCTCTGTATTATTGTAGAGTCTTTACCTTACAATATAAAACGCCTTGAGGCAGACTGCTGTTGGGATTTGGCTATTTTAACAATTATTCCAGGATGAGCTTGTCAATATATAGATATAAACATAGATATAGATATAAAATACGAAATTCTGCACTCATGACATGCCAAGTCTTTGGTGTTAGCAAAATGGAAGAAAATTTGAGCATATCCGTATAAAAAAAACACAAGGTTTGATTATCTCATTAGCAAAGTTGTCAGGAAAATATAAAATACATAAATCTAATGGTGCCTTCAGTGTTTTTGAAGGACCAGCTTCAGTTAATCCCATGCAAGCTGCTGTTCTCTTATTCTGCCTACACACAACCACCATTCACCTTCATTTTCATATTGATGTAAAGTGAAGGAGCCCTCACATCAAGCTCATCGGAGCTTTCATACATTCTGAATTGGGCACTACAGGAAATAGATGCCCTCAGTCTGCTGTGTTCATGCAGCTGATGACACAGCTTTTAACAAGTGAAGCTAAAGCTGCTGCACTGCTCCACTTTGGCCCTCTCAAGGATTCCATTTCTAAAAGGAACACTCAAGTAATGTGGCAAGTCATTTTGACAATCATGAAAGGTAGCACTAACAAGTGCAGGCTGCTGATAAAGGAAGGCTGCAGTGAGAGACTCTAGTGAAGTGAGGGGATGGGGAACTAGTTCCAAAGAAAACCAGCCAACCATGAAATGCCGAACCTTTACACTTGAGAGATGGCAACAGACTGTATTAGCAAGACTGAAACATGACAACAAAATCAGCGCTAGGGAGTTGCATTCTGCGGCACCACAATTTCATCATGTATAACAAAAAAACTATATAATCCAACATTTCCTTGTTTGCTTTTAGGGATTTAGTATGGTAGTCCCTGCAGAATAATTAATGATTTATGTTTTATCTCATTTGAATGTGTCTGTTTTTGCACCGGGAGCTCTATTACAGTCATCTGGAGACTTTCAGCAATCCTGTTTCTGCTATCTTCCACCAGTACAACAAGTTGGGAGAATTGCTCTGCTGTTATTACATTTCGAAAGTATCCCTGATCCAGGGAGGAGCCTGGAGGAGAAATTAGCCAGGAGTTTATTGGCTCAGATACAAAAGGAGCAGATTGAAAAGGGGGTGAGATGATTGAACTCTTCTTTATTCCATGGTGTGTCCTTTGTGCCAGGCTGTGCAGTCACTTTGATGTTATCTCTGTCATTTGAGCTCCATACTGCGCCTTGGGTGCCTCACACAAAAGAATATGATGCACCACCAGAGGCCATGAATGGGCTTCCCATCTATTTTCTGCAAGAGGGGAACTCTCCTTTTGATCTACCTCGAGTGTCAGTCATTATCAAAGTATATCATTGCTGTAAAAGCCTCAGAAATGCATTTAATATGTAAAAGAATACTGTACAACTGGCCAAGTGAATACTGATTAAGTAAACTAACCTCGCTTCAGGGAACTTACTAAAGAGCACTTTTTTCCAATAACAACAGCTTGTTTTTCACTGTTTTTCAGTGTCCTGTGTTTGTCTCCAATCAGCATGTTTTTGTGCATTATCATAACCATCAAAGAAGCTTCTGAAAATGTGAGTGCACTAAAATCAAATACATCTAATCGGTAGAAAAAGGTAGACTGTCAGATTGTCGCTTGTGAAGGAACTTATAAATGTGAACAGCCCAAAACTTTTGCATTATTTATTACATAAAACTCAGAACTAGGCATCAGTTATGTTACATGTTTGGGCAGTTATATATGTTCTTGGTTTGAGATTATGGGAGGAACGTTGCACCTTTCTTTCAAAAGGAGAAGAGCAGCGGCAGAAAGGAGGGGGTGGTGAAGATGGAGGAGGATGAAGAACATCTTACTGAGCTGCCATTAGTGGTCTAATTCACACACTAAGAATCAAAAAGAGACCTTTGAGTGGGTGGTTGGATTGTTGAGGGCCGATCAGAACCTCCATTAGCACAGAAATAAGCTGCAAATGGAACAGAGGAGCTGTGGGAAAAAAAGAGAAGGGCCAACGGTGTTGAAGGAACACAGTGCTCCGGCCAGGCAGAGCCAGGCCCATTTCACAGCACTTCTGCTCAGCTAAACATGTCAAGAGGCTGAAAGATAAAATACCAACCACACAGAGGGACGAGAAACTCAAAGCTAACTCGCATTCCTATTACAGGTTCTTATTACTGTAGGTTAGAATCCCAAGCACTGACAAACTGCATCTATACTACAGTGAAGCTTTGTTTATTGAGCTGTGAAAAAAGCGTCACAGCTCCTCCATGACTGAACTAAAATTGGTTGCTATCTCCTTTAAGACTGTCTCCTTGTGAAGCAATGGACTACTCCAAGCTTTCCTGCTGAACTTGGATCACTGCTTTGATGACTGCCACTGTGTCAAAACATACACAGCTTGATTTGCAAAGTTCTAAATATGCTGATTAGTGAGTGAGGAGTCAGTGAAGACTGTGTTGGTCTTACCAAAAAAACTGCCGTGAGCAGAGACTCGATGGCACGCTAGCATGTATCAAAGTCTGGTCATTAGTGGCAAATGTCCTCTTTCACACTTTTCACTAAATTACAACAGAACTCTATGTTGAGAATCTCACCCTCAGGGGCAAATTTATGAATCGCAGTTTCAGTGTTATACTCTTGACTTGATTTGAGTCACTGTCAGAGGATATGGTTGAGCAAGACTGGATGCACCGCTTTAAGGTTTGGAAACTGAATGGCTCTGACTCAGAAACCTGATGTCGCAGCAAAAGACCAGCGATGATTCTTGGGATGAAAGTTGTTAGTTTGTTGCATATAGAAGTTAGTGTTTGAGGTCTATGGTGAAAGGGCAGCTTCACATATACATATACAGAACAGCAAGAGCACTGGAAGAAGTTAAGCACTTCAAAAGAGTTGGTCAGATTGAAATTGGTACAGGTTTTGAATTTCCTGGATGGATTTCTGGAATTGTTTTGAGCACATCTCATGTATTCTTATATTTACACAACTGCTGTGCTCAAAGTTTACTTTTATGCCGGTTTAATGCAAAATCATTTTGTGAACTGGAGCACATGCAAAAGAATTGCATAAATGTGCAAACTGTGTAAGTATATGGTGAAAAAAAACATCTCAATAACAGCAAGTGTCTTAATTAAAGTATGTGTTTACACGAGAAAAGGGCTGCCTGCATTTAACAAATTGTGGAATCGTGTCTTTTTGTGTGTTCTGATAGTTAGCACGGTTTCATTTATAATCCCTACTGTGCAATTCTATAACAAGAGCCACAGGATTCTAGGTCAATCCTCTCAAATGAATTTCATTTTTTTGGCCTAAGTCAAGCAGTGATTAAGCAGAGGGGAATCCTACTATATACTTGAAGAATGCTCGTGCATGGTACAGTAAGAGAAGTAGCCTCTGTAAACCTCTACGGTAATGAATGAGGAATAAAAAAGGCAATTCCCGGTCTGTGCTCTGAGCATTAGGAACATGTGCACAGCAGGAGGTGACGAGACAATGATTCTGATGGATATCCCTGTCCAGCAGAGAGTCAGTCCTCCCAATGTTCTTTCTGCTGATTGATTTGAGTGACTGGGAGAGGACAGAGGGGAGGAGGGAGACTAGACACACTATCTGGACTGGGTGAGGTCTTATCACTCCCTTGGCTGCCTAACCTGCCGGGCCCATGTTGTTTTGAAGAGAGGTCGTCAATAAGAGTGGGTGACTGTGTAGTGAAAAACAATGGCTGCTCTTCAGATGTCCTCGCTCTAATAAATAACGCTGTAGCTATGAATGTTGGCTATGTAGCATAGGTTTATGAATGCCGTGCTAAACATTTCAATGTGCCACATGACAAAATATATCCTGTAATTTAGCATTTTAGACCGACAGAGGTAAAAAAGATAAACAGTTTGTTTTTTTTTTTGGTTTTTTTATCCTGACCATCCTGACCGTTGTCATCAGATGCCAATTCATATAGACTGAAAAGTCGCAAGGCATTTAAGCTGATGAATAAAAATTGGACTGCATAAATTTCTGCTTAATGGGATCCCTGAGCTTCATGGAAATGCAATTATCCTGTTGCAAATGTGGTATTGCAAATATTGGAGGCATGGTCAAAGCCCCCTTACTGAAAATAGAGTCTGCCATAATGTCAAAACTGATGATTTTATATGCATACAGCTGTACACAGGTACAAAACATAAACAGATGCCACACATAGAAACATTTTCAGCATTATGCTTCATTTTGTGTTATGCAGGAACAAAACAGGTGTCTTACTGAAAGCTGTGCAGAATAGAATAGAATAGAATAGAATAGAATAGAATAGAATAGAATGCTCACTGATGTGTACAGGTGGCCCTCCCCGTTCATTGCGATGTATAACCCTGTCTTCACGGATTGAATGGCGACAACTCTGAGGCCCACAGGAATAAGGTTGAACAAAGCTGGGGAACACACACGTAAAACATTAAAACACAAACATTCCTCAAAATCTCACCAAAAAATATTGAAACAGACAAACCAAACATTAAGTAAACTTTAACTAGATTGGGGTAAAACATTTAAGTAACAATCCATCATCTAAACACAAGATGTCTATCTTTAAGGCGTTGCAAAGTATGGATAATACAACTGCTGAGTGCTGCATTTAGATAATCTCAGAAGATGAATTGCAGCACAGCTGGTGGACGTGACTAGCGCAGCCTTGGCCACTCAGTGCTACCTGAGAAGCAGTTGTAATTGGGACCACCGCTAGTGCGAGGATGATTTAATAACACCCTTGTTGTTGTAGCAGACTCCTAGTAGGTAATGGGTATTGTTTGTATGGGGGAGAAACAAGAGGACTGGCCTGGCTGGGACATTAGGTGTGTATTTGGGAGACATGCACTAAAGGGATGCAATGAACTCAGCTGACCCTTCAAGCAACTGGAAAGGGCAGGCTTGCATCCTAGAAGAAAATCTGAGAGAACTAAATGCAGAACCACTCATTTCCTTTCTTTTTCTTCTTTCTTTCTTTCTTTTTTATTTTGATGGCTCGCGGTCAGTTTCAACTGCCGACACCTAATTTGATCCTGGAGTTAAAATGACACGCTATCTATAATGCTTACCGTTTCAATAAGTCCCTTCAGCCTACCGCATGTGACATGTGCCACATCTCTTCCTGCTGACAGGAGTAAGTGACACAATGCATAGTGTCAGGCTAGCATTAGCACCAAGCACTGGAATCAAATTAACCACCTAGCCTGAAGTGTTAGAGGAGCAGTGCCAGAACAAGCTAATAATACCTTTTTCTCACTGTTGAGCCTACTGTTTCCTGGTCCACTTTGCCTCTCGGGAAAAGGACCAAACTGTGTGATCCCATGGCTCCATTTAAGAGCCATTTTTGCTCCAAAGATCAAAAATACTGACCAGACATTAGCGGAGGGTGACTGCTTGGTTAATTTTTTTGTATAAGAAGAATAAATATAGAGCAGGAAACAAGCCAGACATAAAATTGTGCTCAAGAAACCTACACAGGGTAAACTTTTCTATAACCTCTGCTAGTATTTCTTTAGATTATTCCAGACACCTGTTAAAAATCTGATCTACAAGTCCAAGAGATATTTCAAGGTACTCACAGGAATTACTGCTGTCATCCTTGGTCCCATCAAGAGAGCCATCGGGGTTCATTTGCAAGTAGTATCCCTGCCTGCAATATAACCTGGTCACTATACCCTTGAGCTGGGGATCTGAAAGAAAGGGGGGGAAGAGAAAGAACAGAGAGAATAGTTAGAATAAACTTCAAGAATGCAAATTTTTTGATTTAATACACAACAAAAAGTAAATTGTTTTCACGGGGACTTTATGGCAAAACACCGAGACACACACAAAGTATTGCAGCTGGTGGTTTTTCACTAGCAAATCCCCAAGCCACCTTTCTGGCACATAAGCCCCATCCTGCTCAGAGATAGTCCATCCAATTATAGGTAGCAGAATTAATCTGTGGTTGCCTGACTCCCATAATGAACCCAATAGCACCCTCTCTGGGTTCCTCGTATGTAGGATGTGAAAGTGTCTGCGTGCCGTCCCTTCTAGCTGCCCCGACAGGGGAATTAGCCGCATATCTACTGTAAATAAATCACTGCTGTTTAATTGCCCAGAGCCGCTGCAGCTCAGCGAGTTGTATTGTAATTTAGTTGGCATTTTGTCAGTTTGCAATAACATGACAAAAAGTGAAAGTGAAATGTAAAAAGTAAAAAGCAGTACAACACAGAAAAGGACACATTTTAATAAACCTGTGTGCGGGTGCACACTGGGACATCTCTGAAAAAAAAATATTGCTTGCTCTCAAGCTGCGCTGCGATATTTTTTCATCTGTGTGCTTTTGTGTACCTGCGCGTCTGAGGTCATATATTATCAACATTAGACTTATTGTAGAGACAGCCATCACACCAAATTTCATCCTAAGAAAACCCTAGGGAGGTGAAGAATCAACTTCACCTGAGTCCTTGCATGCTACTCGATGTGTGTGTTGGTGGGTGAGTAGAGTTATGTGGAAGAGATATCGAAAGAAACAAAAAAAGGCCGCAGAAGAGAGCTCCAGAGGTCTTGCTGAGGGCAGCATCGGGCTTTTTCCCCCCGTTACTGTGCGGCTTGGGGCATTCTCCTCTGAAATGGTTCTGTCAGTTGATGGCATTAGCCAGCTCTGAGACCTTTCCCCGCTCCCTGAAAGGGAGAGAGAATGCCTCTCTGCTTGTGGATGGGAGCAGCGGCGCTATGGCATTCATCGGCACTGCTTTGTTGCTTCAGCAGAACAATGAAAAGGTGGCTAAAGCAGAATCTGACTGTCAGAGTGCCTCCGCTGTGCGCGATTCAGGCTGACAGGATGGTGACAGTATCTATCTGGTTCGCAATAATGCTAAGCTCAGTCAAAATCATTGCAGGCCTTTAGCCAGAGACAGATGTCACTGTGAAGAGATCATTGTCCCTGGTCTTCTTTTTCATTGAACTTATAATACATGTGACGCGTTCTAACAGCATTGTTAGAGTGAAGGTTGGTTTGAGAACTCATTTGTGCCAGTAAAATGACAAAAAAGAAGAAAAAAATTCAAAAATGTAACAAATTCAGTTTTTTCTCAAAATGTTTGGTTTATAGATTTCTGCTTAATACTTGTATATGTTTAAAGGAAAATGGAAAGATTAAAATTTAAAGAATGGCTTTTTTAAAAAGCCTATTTAAAAAAAACTTCTCATTATTTGTCCAAACCCAATATGAGTACTTGAACTTGGATGATCTTGGATTTTTAATATTATTCTTTTTTATCATAATCTTTCCTCTTGTCTTTCTGCTATTGCCCCCTTCCATGAGCACCATCGGTTTGAGGATTATCGACAGCACTCGTGTTATCGTCTTTTTTGTTTTTCCTTATAAGCATATAGCATTCTTCTTCCCATGACAACTTTTCTGGGCTCAGAAAACACTTTTAAAAAAATGACACTTTAAATTGGCTATTGGAGTTTTCATTTTACAATGTACAATATGAATCTCACATTAGAAAAAACAGCAAATGCCGCTTAATAAATGACTAGGATGACTGGAAATTAATTAGAAGTCATTGTGTGGATTTATTAATGGAATTAAATCCCACATTTTGATGAATTTGTGCAAGTTTAAAATTATTCAACACCTTTTGTTCCAAACTTAGTGAAGCTAAACAACCTAGTCATCCAAATTTGCTGTCCTCTGAGCTGGATAACTAACTTTAGTCTTGCAAAGAGAGACTCCTAACCTGCAGGTCCTGCAGCTGGGGTCGTGGCTCGAGTCGAGTTCAGCTTGAATGATTTTGGTTTTACAGCACTGTGTTAGCGTAAAGGTAATGAATATATTTGCGGCATAGCCTTGTGGCTGGTCTGCACTCGTCTCACAGCAGGCTGCACATAAAGACCAAGTTATGCGTGGGTTGGTGTTTTTAATGCACCTTAACTTTAAACTGTGTGAGCCTTAGGAGGTGGGGTAGATGTAAGTTTCTTCATTTGTAAGAGAGACGGACAGAGAAGATGGAATGTGTACCAGTAATTGCAGCAGAGCTGAGTGCAGACTCTTTCAACTTATTTTTAAATTAGTTTACAGGTTGTGGGTCATCCCACATACCACTAAGACCAAAGTGATCTCCAGCTCAGAGGATGACTCATTTGATGAATATTAGGTTATAGCCTGCAGTCGACTTTATTGCATTTTGTGCACAAATACATCAAAATCTGGGGTGAATTTTATTTCTTGCCTCTACAACAGGATTCCATGTCTTCAGGATAGTCAAAGCCTTTAAATACTATATATTAATTGCAAGTAAGGTGAGACCACCTGTCTTAGACATTGAACCTTTTTTATCTAAGATATCCTCCCTTAAACTGCCTCCTTCTGTCCTGATGCAAATGTTTCCACATCGTCACATTTGATGTGACCTTGAGACACTTAAATAGGTGTCTCCAGGTCCACAAACACATGCTATATCAGCTGGCATTTGTTTTTTCAAACATAGAGGTACCCAGCATTCGGATAGAAAACCGTGCAACCTTAAGACCACTGAAGACAGGTGTGTTCTCATACAGCAGTGAGAGCCAGGAAACATGCTCACACACACACACACAGAGCACTTTCCAGGACACAACAGACTAATATGGTGTTGGGTCTCCATTTGCTCTAGAAACAGTCTCAATTCTTCACAGATCAGCACACACCAATTTTCATGTTTATATTCAATGAGCACACACTGCTCCCCTGAGCAAATACTATTATGTGGAAACACAAACTTGGCAAACATGTGATCAATAAATGGCTTTGATCAGCATTTAACTATTGTGGGGGACAGGTGAGATTGATTCCGAGGACATCTGTCATAATTAAAACTGCATAACTGCGTATTGTATTGCGTGCGTGTGCGGTGCACATGTGTGTGAGGTGAACTTGGCTCCTCTATCGTGCCATAAATCATGAAATACTGGCTGTGTTCCCTGAGGCGAGCAAGCCCGTATATCTCACACACACAGATTTCCCCTTCAGCTTCAATCATAAGTACTTCAGAGCAGCAGACAGAGTGAGCTGAAAATAAGTCAAATTAAAACTAATTCAAGCTAATTCATTTCAATTAAAGAAGACTGAAAAGGGGGGGAGGAGACAAAACAATTGTTAAATGGGGAATATAAGTCTCTGTAATACTGTGCATGATAGTTGAGCTCTAGTCCAATTCTGGGGAGTGTCTCTATGAATATGTCAGTCATGTTTTTAAATACCTAGCGAATTATTTACGACTGACAAATACACTAGCATGCATTCCTGTGATATAATGGGTTTTGTAATCCTAGTCAAGCTGGCAACCCATGAATGCAACACAAGTTAAAGGTTACTTCAAGATAATAAATAGTTATATTTACACTCATTTATTCTATTATTATCTTTTCTTTTTTTGGGGCGGGGGGAGGAGGGGGCAAAATACTAGACAAGTGTGAAGTGTGGCTAAATGGAAGAGAATAAGAACAGGAATATTAGAATGGGAGTGAATGAAGGGTCTAAGAAGCAAACACACAAAGGAAGGATTGAGGGCTTTAAAAATGACACAGCATTTCCAGTCCTGTCAGCCAAGCTTGATATGGTGCGTACACTCTTTAAAATCCAGAGGAGCTTTGAAAACGTCTCTGTGGTGTTCTCTAAGTCGACGAGGTCTTTGACTCGTGCTTCTTTTCTTACTTATTTCTTTTCTTGTCTGTATGAAGACGACTCTGTATATAACAGCCCCAAACAGTGAAACAACAATGCTGCTTATCACAGATGGAGTCTCCAGCCTCTAATCTCACTGGACTTTCCCAGTCGCACTATTGGTTATTACAACTGAAGCACTGTATGTTTCTACATGCTTTGTTTCTAAGGAAACTGAGTTGCGGCTTGGCATCAGCGGGGGGGTTTCCTTGGAAAACAGAGAGCGTCGGAATCGTAAGACCTCAAATTGTGTTGTTTTGTAGCAGTAATCCTCTCTGTGTATAAATTCAGCTGTGACGGGAAAGTTGTGAAGCGACCTCGCTGCAGTTCCCTCTTCCCCTTTGTCTCTTATTTTCTGTTGTGTCATCCCTCTGTGTGTGTGTGTGTGTGTGTGTGTGTG